TATATATATATATATATATATATATATATATATATGTTTATGTACACACACAGACATAGCTAATAATAAAAGAAACATCCATATTTTGCAGGACACAATACTTCTGAGAAAATTCTCTAAATTTATTTATTTAAATCAATGAATTTTCTGAAGAATATCAGGTCATATTTTGTGACTGAAGGATTTATGGAATTAAATCAGTATTCTTAAATTCTGTAATAAATTTTATGATTAGTTCATATTTTTGAGCAAGTAAACTCAGTTGATAAATTCTTACCGTAATTAAGGCGGAAAGATTCTCAGTGCATATATAGTTTGAGAATTTTAATCTCAGAAATCTCTCAGTATAGTACAATGTTAACAGCGTATAAATAAACGCTCTCACATTCAAAGAGAAAACCCTTAATTTTCAAACAGGCAAGAAGAAATTATAGGGGTAATATTTTAGTAAAGAAATTTAGATGCAATATGAGTTCAGAAGTTGACACCATTAGAAATCGAAATTTCTTATCAACTAAGTTAATTTCCAATAGTTAGTGTGAAGTAATGAGGATAGCTATATGTCACGCCCCAAAGCCGGGGTCGGTGACGTGGAGGCTCGATTAAGGGTTAAACGCGATTAAGAAAATTCCCAAACGAGCCCCACATTTAACTAAAAATAAATTACTGAATACAAGAGGTTCATAACTAAGCCTCTGACACCGTTCATGACTTCACCCACAGGATATGCAACATTGTACATACATGAACACGTAAATAACATTACAGACATCAACCATAGTCTAGACATCAAAATATCAGAGTTTACAGAATTTACAAATTCTTACATTTGTACATAGGGAGGATGAACACAATCCTCACCAACTCAGGTGGTAGCAATCTACTCAGCTACTCCGCACTGTTCCTAGAGTCGCCTTGGAGGGGTTAATATTTATAAAACAAAGAAAACGTAAACGAAAGGCTCAGTATGATATATTTTGAAATAACTTTATAAACAATTAAATAAATGAGTAAGTAAGTAAATAAATAAATAAATGAATAAATAAGTAAATGAATAAATATAGACATTCAGTTCTAACACAATAGCCGGAACCTCACATCCTTTTTCTCAAAGGAAATATAACTGAAAATCTCTGTATTACAGGCATTAGCAAGTAATTTATACTATGATAAATTACTTACACAACCACATGCACAAGTCATATCACCCTGGGCCGGGTTTCGGGTCCTGCCCCCAATGATGCACTCTCCACATCCTATCTAGGCCATCAATTGGTTTACCGATTTGCAAGATCTCTTGTCTTAAGAAATCATTCATTAAACTTTATGAAATAGTTCATTATACTCCCCAGAACTACAACAAGCCATGGGGGTTAAAAAAAAATTCCTTTCGCAAGCATGCCATTTCTTTAAAACATTTTGCAAGGCCAAAATCCTTTTGAAAACAAGCTCACAAAGGAAAGGGTAAGAAATCCTACCTCACAAATATCAAACTTGGCTAGCGTTACACTATTCTGGCTTTTGCTTCCCTAAAGCCCCTCAATCCGAGTCCTCAGCTAGCACTGATACAAAACCACACTTTAGGATCCAATTCTCATTCCTAAAGCAATTCAATACCAATTATATTAAAAGCTTACAAAAACCTTAGGCTAACCCCTCTATTTATAGTGTTCAGAGGTTGCCTATCAAATAAGGAAACAAATAATAAAAATAGAAAATTATAAAAGAAAAGTAAACAAAATAAAATTACACATAAATTAGGAGAAATCATATATATGATTTGAGGAAGAAATCCGGTAATTTGCTCTGATTTTTGGGGAAGAAATTCAGATTCAGCATCAAAAGGGACACGTGTCACATTATGGTTGGAAGGTGGAGTCAGTCCGTCGCGTGTCGCGCTTGGAGTGTGCTGGCGCGGAGTCAGAGCAGGGGACAAGTTGACAGCTGGCGCGCATTCATTGGCAAGTCAGGCTGGCATCGCAGACGCGGGACTTACGCGGAGGGAAGCTTTAGACGCGTGCTGATGTTTGCGTGGAAGGAATGCGCGCGCTAAGAGAGGGTGTGCTGGTGACGCGTGCGAGGTGAGATGGCGAGAAGAATTTAGGCGCGGATTTCCGCGCTGACTGGTGGGGCCCGCTCCATTTGGCTTAGCTGAAGGGTGGCGTGGCTCTCTCTGAATGGCTCGGCTTGTGTGGTTTCTCACACTTTTTGTCTGTAAATAATTAAGTAAAAACTAGATAAATTCCAATTAAAAATATTATGAATAAAAATAATGGAATTATTTAATTAAAGCTTAAATATTTTAATATTTTATAAATCAAAAGCAGTATTTATGGTGTATTTTCATGCACTAATCATTGACCAAAGAGTTGACCAATATGTCACTCTTAAAAAATTAGTTAAGGTTAACTAAAGTTGATCAAGTAGACAAACTGTCTGAAAAACGCAAGTAAAATGTGTACCGGATGAATATTGAACTGAATCGATATAAGATAATTATTAGAGATGGATGATTGAGATTTAAAAAGACTTTTTGGATGGAGGGCTGAGATCATGACACTTATGTGGTTAGGTGGCCGGCCAACTTGGGAAAAAAGAAAAGAAAAAGGTGATTTTAGTAGATTTTACAAAAAAGACCGTAAAAGTTGGCAAATTCCACTTTGGCCCCTCCTTTTCTTCCTCCACTGGTTTTTAAGTGTAAAAACACAATTAAATGCTCACTTTTTCATGCCAAAAATCAGTGAGTGTTCATCCAAGAGGGAGGAGAAAAAAATTTCACTAAAAGTGAGGAGAAGCGAATTTTATGCGAAGATCGACAAAACTATCGAGGATTAGTGACTCCGAAACTTGTTTCTCATTCTTTTAAGGTGAGATTTTAGTTTTACTCTCCTTTTTCTTGCCTTGGCCTAACCCTTGGATATGATAGAGAGTATGGAGAAAGTTTGATTAAGATGATGATTGAATTTCCATTGATAAAGGAATTGAAAACTACCTCCAGCGCCTCAGCTAGTACTTGAGGTACATGAGTTGTATCATATTTTTCTTAGGCAGGTTTTAGCATGGGGTGCGCAGCCCAGTGAGCCAATGGTATCGTATTATCACCATTTTCTGCATAAGTTGGTTCCGAGTTGTCCGTTCCATCTTAACACGGAAGATCTATGGCTCTTGTTCCTCAGAGGAATCCCTAGACGGATTGGAGATGTAGTAGATCTCTACCGGATCATTCTAAATTATCATCAGATAGTAGAGTTAATACTCGAGATAGGGGCTATGCTTGATCCACCCATGGAGCCGGTAGACATGGTCCAATAGCCGCAGGAGGGGATACCAGCTCCTCCGCCAGTCGCGCCTTTTCCAGCCGAGGACTTTGTCAGAGATGATGACGTGGGCATGGTCGTGGACGAGGACTAGGAGCATTCCTCACCTCGAGCATTTAGTTGTACTTTTGTATATGACTCACTTGTGATGTATAGTGGGAAGTGGTAGCCACTTTCACCTAGTTCTGACTAGCTATTTTACTTATGTATTATGAGAAGTGGTAGCCACTCCCAATAGATGTTATTGTGCAACAATTTTATATAGATAATGATACATGTATACGATATGGGAAGGGATATACAAAATACACTCCCATCAGTTTTGTACCAAAGTTAAGTAATATGGGAAATCAAGCTTATCTGAAATTTACAGTTTATGCTTGTATCAGATAAAATTTTTTTGTGCGAATTAAAAGCATATGTTCAGTTGAATAAGATGATGTAGAAAGTTAACAAGATTATAAGTATCTTTATAGGACTTCGTTCTGCATATAGCAAATAAAATTTTATATACAAGGAAGAAAAAACTTAAATATTCATTTTCTTTAATGAAGGATCAAGGATCAATCGTTGGACCAGGTGGCTAGTGAACAGCCAGAGGTCAATTTGACCATTCAGATAGCATAGATAAGGCAATTGTTACAAGCGCAGCAGTAAGAGATGAGTGCTATGCGTGAACAGCTAGCACATCAGGCTCATGTACCTATAGCAGGAGAAGAGTTAGCTCACGAGAATCCACCTGCACCAGGAGATCCCCATGCAATTGACGGTAAGAACGATCAAGAAATACCGCCTGCACCGATCGCTCCTGTAGCAGTTTAGGAACAGAACTACTAAGCAATAAATGACGAACGTTGGGTTACAATCCTAGAAAGGTTCCCTCGTATGAAAGCACCAGAGTTCTATGGCTCTACCAACCCTATAGAGGCAGATAACTGGCTAAATGATATTCAAGTGATCTTGAACCTTATGAGATTGAATGATCAAGAGAAAGTTCTATGTGCCTCTTACATGCTAAAGAAGGAGGCTCGCCGTTGGTGGCAGACAGTAGAATTAAGGAGGGACATCAATTTGATGACCTGACAAGATTTTATTGAGGAGTTTAATGAGAAATATTTCACTTTAGACAATATGGCAGCCCAGGAGGACGAGCTTAATAGCTTCCGTCAGGGAGATTTGTTATTGGTGGATGCAATATAGAAATTTAAGCAGTTAACTCGCTTGTGTCCACACATGGTGACCTCTGAGCGAGAGGAGGTCAGAAGGATGATGAAAATGTTAGAACTGACCTCGCTGTGGTAATTAGCAACTGGGGCAGACCGCTTACAACTGTGGAAGAGTATGTAGGTCGGGCAATTCGTGTTGAATACTGGGTTAATCATAATAGGGAAGAAAAGGCTAAGTATTTCAAGGCTAAGAAAGAGGAAATGACTAAAGAAAAGCAGAATCTTGCAGCCTAAGTAAAAGGTCAGAGGGGAAACCTAGGCCAAAGTAATAGGCAACAAGGACAGAATCAAAATAAGAGAAAAGAGAATTTTAACTCTGGGAACCAAAAAGGTCAACCATAAAAGAGGAATAACACTGGGTGTGGTAACATTAGTTTTTTCAATTGTAATAAGTGTGGAAGGAAGCATTTTGTAGAGTGTAGAGCTGGGATAAGTGGTTGTTACATATGTGGCAAAGAGGGTTATTTCGCCGAAGATTGTTATTCCAACCCTCAGAATCGAGTGGGTCAAAATCATCAGAGAACTCAGAGTTAGTCGAAAGCTCTAGGAAATCAGCTCAATGTGCTCTAAGCCATGATTGACGGGTCCTAAATTTCTCAAGGGTGGTTATAAGCTAAAGAACCTCAAGTTCGCATCTTTGCCTACACCAGAGAATATGCAGAAGCAAGTACTTTCACAGTGGTGACAGGTCAGCTTCCTATAGCCAACTATGATGCTTATGCTTTATTTGATTCTGGAGCAACACATTCATTTGTATCATCTAAGGTTACTAAGCATCTAGATGGGGCAAAAGATAGAATGAGTTAGGACTGCTTTGCCCTCCGGGCAAATCTTAATATCTAATTATTGGTTATGAAATGTGATTAACGCCCAAAAGTGATGTTCACAAGCGGTTAATTGTAGCACAGAAGGGCGGTCGTATCCACAGAGAGATAACAAAATAACAAGAAAGACTAACAAAATAAGAGCGTTAAGAAAATTGGATTAAAGAAAAAGAAGAGTTTTTGAGATTTTGGTACAAATAAAATAAAAAGGAAGAAATTTGTATGAAGAAAATTCAATAGTAAAAACGGTAAGGTGTCGAGAATCCCTAATGTTTCATTCACCAATTCCATTTTTGATTCACAAAATAAAAGAATCGAATAAATTAAATCTCTATGTTGACTCTAGAAATATTATTATTACAAGTTATCTAAAATCGACAATATATCAATTTGACAATATTGCAGTAAAAGACAATTATAAAATAATTTGAATAACAAAACAATGCATGACAAAATTACATAAGAAAAGCGTGACTGAACTTATATAAAAATTGGCGCACACAATATTTTGAAAAATAAATGAAAGATAGATGAGACTTAATTCATTCAGATATTGAACTTTACAACACAAGGAATCAAAACCCCGAATTGGGTCACTCAACAGAAGTTCATCTCTAACCTCACCAAGAGAACTCTAGCCTAGCTTGCAAAACATTTTCACAAGTTCTAGAGAGAAAATATGAGACTGACAGCAAGACGACAGAAAACTGAATATTAAAAGCTTACAAAAACCTTAGGCTAACCCCTCTATTTATAGTGTTCAGAGGTTGCCTGTCAAATAAGAAAACAAACAATAAAAATAGAAAATTACAAAAGAAAGGGACATAAAATAAAATTATACATAAATTAGGAGAAATCATATATTTGATTTGGGGAAGAAATCTGACAACTCGCTCTGATTTTTAGGAAGAAATTCATATTCAGCCTTCATCTGGACACGTGTCAAAGCTCAATTGGAAGAAAGGAATAAGGCCGCCACGTGTCGCGCGTGGAGTGGAGGAAAGGCGCTGGCGTTGGAGACAGTTAGGACCCGCGGAAGCCGGCTAGCATCGCAGACACAGGACCCACGCCGAAGAGAGCTTGGACGCGCTGCAGATCGCGCAGAGGAAGAACGCACGCACTGGGATGTTTGCGTGCTGGTGACGCGCGCGAGGTGGAGTGGGGAAGGCAGGCGAGCTGGGGCCCACAGGGAAATCAGCTTGTGGCTTCGGCTCACGCGGCTCTTCTCTCTTTTTGGCTTGTGAGGCTCGGCTTAGTGGCTTAGCTCCGGGTGGTTGAAAATATGACTTTCATGGCTTATTTTTGTGTAGCTTTTTACACTGCTTTTTATATGTAAATAATTAAGTAAAAACTAGATAAATTGCAATTACAAATATTATGAATAAAAATAATGGAATTGTTTAATTAAAGCTATTTTAATATTATATAAATTAAAAGCAGTATTTAGGGTGCATTTTCATGCACTAATCAAAATGTTCTAATAATTATTTGCGGTAGAATGTTGTACGTGAATTTGATTGTCGTTAGTATGAGCGATTAAGATGTTATATTGGGAATGGACTTCCTGAGGAAATGTAACGCCATTCTTGACTGTAAAAACCGAAAAGTTACATGTAAGCCCCCTAAGGAAGAGGAGTTCACCTACACGGGGACATTTCAAAAGCAGTCAGTATAGATGATATCCGCGATGAGGGCAAGTAAGATGTTGGCTAATGGATGTATAGGATATCTAGCCAATTTGGTGGATAAGTCTAAGTAGATTAAAATAGGACCGGAGGACATTCCAATAGTTAAACAATTTTTAGAAGTCTTTCCAGAGGAATTAACAAAACTACCTCTAGAACGAGAGGTCTCTTTTGAGATAGACTTGATACTAGGATCAACACCAGTCTTTAAGGCACCATACCAGATAGCTCCGGCTGAGCTTAAGGTGTAATTACAAGAATTAATAGATAAGGGTTCTATTCGCCCGGGATATTCACCATAGGGAGCACCAGTTTTGTTTGTTAAGAAGAATGATGGTACACTAAGGATGCGTATTGACTATTGGGAGCTGAACAAGATTACAATTAAGAACAACTATCCGTTGTCATGAATCGATGATTTATTCGATCAATTGAAGGAAGCTGCACATTTTTCTAAGATAGATTTACATTCAGGTTACCACAAACTTTGAATTAAAGAAGGTGACGTATCGAAGACAACTTTTAGGACTTGTTATGGGCATTACGAGTTCCTTATGATGCCATTTGGATTGACTAATGTTCTAGCAACATTCATGGACTTAATGAACCGAATATTTAAGGATTCCTTGGATAAGTTCATCATTGCCTTCATCGATGAAATTTTAATTTATTTTAAGACAAAGAATGAGAACGAGGAACATTTAAGGACTGCTCTGCAAGCCCTGAAGGAGAATCAGTTGTATGCCAAATTTTTGAAGTGTGAATTTTGGCTAGAACAAGTACAATTTTTAGGACATGTGGTATCCAAAGAAGGAGTTGCAGTGGATCCCACCAAGATTGAAGCAGTAAGCAGGTGGCCAGCTCTGAAAAGTGTGACAGAAATACCTAGTTTACTTGGTTTAGCAGGATACTACTGATGCTTCGTTGAGGGATTTTTGAAGCTAGCTGCTCCACTCACAACTCTCACACGTAAGGAAAGGAAGTATAAGTAGACTGAGAAGTGTGAAGAAAGCTTCCAGGAACTAAAAAGAAGACTTACTAGCGCTCCAGTGCTAACTATTCCAGATGCGGAGGAAAGAAATTTTATAGTCTATAGTGACGTTTCTAAGCAATGATTAGGAGCCGTACTCATGCAAGGAAGATAAGTGGTCACTTATGCTTCACGACAACTGAAGGATCATGAAAAGAATTACCTGACGTATGACTTAGAGCCTGCAGCGGTAGTTTTTACACTAAAAATATGGCTACACTATATGCATAGAGCAAAATGTGACATCTATATAGATCACCAGAGTCTCAAGTATATCTTTACTCAAAAGAAGTTGAATATGAGACAAAGAAAATGGTTGGAACTAGTAAAGAATTATGACTGTGAGATCCTTTATCACCCCGGAAAAGTAAATCAAGTAGTTGATGCACTGAGTCAAAAGTCATCAACGATGTTGGTGGCGATAAATGTTTTAGCTCAACCTCTACATAAGGAGATAAATGATCTTGAAATCAAGGTGATTTCTGGAAAGTTATCTTCTCTAACCCTTAAACCGACCATCATCGAACACATGAAAGATAGCCAGGAACTTGACTCTACCCTGGTTAGGTTAAGAAAAGAAGTCCTGGAAGGTAAAGAAACAAGATTTAGTCTCTTAGAGGACGTCATACTTTACCATAAAGGTAAGATATACGTCCCGGATAATGAGGAAATAAGGAAGCAGATCCTTTCAGAAGCATATGAAACTTCTTACTCTGTTCATCTGGGAACAACCAAGATGTATAAGAACCTTAAAAAGGGTTTTTGGTGGCCAGGAATGAAAAAATACATGGCTGAATTCATGTCAAAGTGTCTGAATTGTTTGAAAGTTAAAGCAGAACATCAGTGTCCAGCAGGAGAACTGCAGAAGATCGACATGTCAGAATGGAAATGGGATCAGATCACGATGGATTTTATAGTGGGATTGTCTAGAACATCTGACGATAATGATGCAATTTGGGTAATCGTAGATCGATTAACTAAATTTGCCCACTTTTTGCCAATCAAATTCAGTTATTCTATCGAGCGATTTGCAGAATTATACGCGTCTAAGATAGTGACACTGCATGGGATTCTAAAATTCATCATATCAGATCGAGACAGTTGTTTCACGTCTAGATTTTAGAGAAGTGTGCATGACACAATGAGGATTAAGCTAAAATTTAGTTCCATTTTTTACCCTTAGACTGATGGTCAATCTAAGAGACCCATCCAGACTTTAGAAGACATGCTGAGAGTATGCTTTATGGATTTCAAGGGAAGCTGAGATAAAAAGTTACCTTTGATAGAGTTTTCTTAGAACAATAGCTATTACACGTCAGGTATGGCACCTTTTGAAGCGCTATACAGAAGAAAATACATATCCCCAATTCATTGGTATGAACCTGGGGAGAAATATTTGGAAACCACATATTTTATTAGGAGAATCACTGAGGATGTGAGATGCATTAGCGATAGATTAAATACCGCTCATAGTCGCCAGAAGAGCTATGCAGATAAACGTTATAGACCGTTAGAGTTTGAAGTAGGGGACCTAGTTTTTCTTAAATTACACCGATGAAAGGAGTAATGAAATTCGGTAAGAAATGAAAACTTAGTCCAAGGTACATATGACCTTTTGAGATTTTAAAAAGGATCAGTAAAGTTGCGTATAGACTAGCTTTGCCATCAGAATTGGCTTCAGTACACAATGTTTTCCATGTATCAATGTTAAAGAAATATGTGTTGGTAGCCGAATCGAATTCGGATACGAAAGCGTGGCGGGGAGGCGGATCGTGTATAACAAAAATTTCATAAAACTTTTGAGATACTCTATAGATTATATTAATTTATGCACGAATAAACTAATCACATTAAGGTTTATGACAAGAACTCAATTAGGAAAAATACCTGGAGGCCGACTCGGATGATAACTTGAGTTCTTTGACCACGAACAATCCTTACTCCAATCTTTGTGTGTAGAAAACCAAAGTCTTCCACGTCAATTCCTTGATTCCACGTAGACATGTGTGTGGGTACACGTGAGACAAAATAGGTTTGAATAAGCACTCGAATTTTTCCACAAACACCAACGCATGCATGATGTGGAATTTTTTGGGAGAAAAAAATTTTCTTCTCTTTTCCTTTTGAAAAATTCGGCCACTCTCACAAGTTAGGGCAGAAAATTGTTTTCAAAAATTGTGTTCACAATTTTCTATCATTCTCATATTTAAAGACTAGAAATCAAACTTCAAAAAAGGAATCAAATCTCTATCTCCTATTTGAATTTGGAACAAAAAATCTCCTACACCTTATCTATTGTGGCCGGCCACCCCTAAGGGTTTTTAACCCTGTGTGTGGCGCCAATTCCAGATAGGGAAGGAAGAGAAATCATCCTTTATCCTGTAGTCCAGTTTTAATTCAAATTCAAATTCAAATTTAAGTCAAACTTAAATTAATTTGAATTCTAAATTGAACAACTTATCAAATAAGTTTAAAAGGATAAATTTAAATTATGTTCACAATTCAAATTTAAATAATCACATTATTTAGATAATAATTAATTCTCAATTAATTATTTTTGAGTGTTTAATTTTAGAATTCCGTAATTCTAAAATTCCCATTTTGTCCTTTGTGTATGGTAGAATTACAAGGATGACGCGGGGACTAATGGACCTATAATCCTGAGCTCCATTGATATAGTCATTGCATATAGATTAATCCTCCATAAATAATTCATAATTAGAGTCAGGTAAGATCCGTTAACCTCTCTAATTATATCTGCATCCTTGAGTACCATTGATTCTCTAATGGATAGTGATTCATAAAACACATTCATGAACCAGAGCGCTCTTACTAATCCAAGTACCGAATCAACACTCAAGAGAATTATTTATCTACTTCTTTCTTAAGAATGAATGGATTCCATCTCGTATAATAACATTTCCGGCTACCTATTTCATCATGTCTCTAAAATACAAGGAATATGATCCAGGGTCTCGGAATCCGTACCAAGTAAATCAAAAGACATAAATCCATAAATAGGAGTTTGTTAAGAACTCAGGATTAAGATCATTCTATATATGACCATCGGTAGACTTAATTAGAATTTCTATACTTAACTTAAATTATTAGAAATTCATATTGTGTCTGTGTCCCTGTTCCACACAATCTCATTATGCGAAATACACTCATTCAATATCTCACCATATTAACAGTGCGGATAGCACCGTTCCATTCTAAATGGGAATGACATGTATTAATGATGTTTTAATTAAAGATTCCAAACTTTAATTAAATTCGTTATGAACAATGTTTTTGATTATTATCCTCAAACACTATCCTCTCATATATAACACTTATATACTATGTTTAAGGTTACATAAATAATCACGGAATTTTCATTTGATATTCATAAAATATTCATAAATATATGCACATAAAATGATGTATAAACTCTTTTATTATTTAAATAATAAATATCCTATTACATCTTATGCTTCTAGGACACTATTCCCAACAATATGTACCAGACCCATCACATGTGTTACACCAGGAACCAGTCGAGGTGCTTGCAGACCTAACTTACGAGGAAAAACCAGTTCAGATCCTAGCTCGCGAGGAGAAAACTCTAAGGAATAAAGTAATTCCTCTTGTCAAAGTCATGTGGCAGAAACATAATATTAAGGAAGCTACATGTGAACAAGAGGAAGATATGAGGAAGAACTATCCCGAGTTGTTCAAATTTTTGGGATGAAAATTCTTAAGGGGGGTAGATTGTAGTGACCGAAAAAAATCTTAGAATTAAATAATGTAAATTTATTTATTTAAGTCAAAGATTTTTCCTGAGAATATCAGGTCATATTTTGTGACTCAAAGATTTATGGAATTAATATAAGTATTCTTAAATTATGTAGTAAATTTTATGATTAGTTCATATTTTTGAGCAAGTAAACTCAGTTGATAAATTCTTATTGCAATTAAGGCGGAAGGATTCTTAATGCACACACTGTTTGAAAATTTTAATCTTAAAAATCTCTAAGTATAGTACAATGTTAGCAGCGTATAAATAAATGCTCTGACATTCAAAGAAAAAACCCTTAATTTCTAAACAAACAAGAGGGATTTATAGGGGTAATATTTTAGTAAAGAAATTTAGATGCAATATGAGTTCAGGAATTGACACCATTAGAAATCAAAATTTCCTGTCAACTAAGTTAATTCCCAATAGTTAGTGTGAAGTAATAAGGATAGCTATTAGATTAGAACACCAATGGATGTCTACCAAGTGTTCACTAAACCAAGATGACATAAGTAAGCAATTAATAATGTAGAAGTATGGTACAGTTACTGATTTTTGGACTGCAATATGAAAATAAGTGCAGAATGCTGTGTTGAACCCACAAGTGGGCCAACACATGAATATCAAGGTTAAGAAATGAAAAAGAATATAAAAACATCACTTCTAGGGTTTTAGAAACAATCAGAACGAAAAACGGATGAAAAAGGGGTTCAGAAGGCCGAACCGAAAAAATTAGGATTTTTGACCGATTTGGAGTTGACCAAGTCGAATTATTATTGACCAAAGAGTTGGCCAATATGTCACTCTTGAAAAATTAGCTAAGGTTGAATAAAGTTGATCAAGTAGACAAACTGTTCAGAAAATGAAGGTAAAACGCGCACCAGATGAATATTGAACTAAACTGAAATAAGATAATTATTAGAGATGGATGTTTGGGATTTAAAGAGACTTTTTGGATGGAGGGCTGAGATCATGACTGATTAACGCCCAAAAGTGATATTCACAAGCGGTCAATTGTAGCACAGAAGGGCGGTCGTATCCACAGAGAGATAACAAAATAACAAGAATGATTAATAGAATAAGAGCGTTAGAGAAAAATGAATTAAAGAAAAATGAGAGTTTTTGAGATTTTTGTTGCAAATAAAATAAAAAAAGAAGAAAATCTGTATGAAGAAAACGGTAAGGTGTCGAGAATCCCTAATGCTTCGTTCACCAATTCAAGTTTTGATTCACAATATTAAATAACTAAATAAATTAAATCTGTATGTTGACTCCAGAAATATTATTATTACAAGTTATCTAAAATCGACAATATATCAATCTGACAATATTGCAGTAAAAGACAATTTGTAAAATAATTTGAATAACAAAACATTGCATGACAGAATTACATAAGAAAAGCGTGACTGAACTTATATAAAAATTGACACACAATATTTTGAAAAGTAATAGAAAAGTAGATGAGATTTAATTCATTCAGATGTTGAAGTTTACAAAACAAGGAATCAAAACCCCGAATTGGGTCACTCAACAGAAGTTCATCTCTAACCTCACCAAGAAAACTCTAGCCTATCTTGCAAAACATTCTCACAAGTTCTAGAGAGAAAATATGAGACTGACAGTAAGACGACAGAAAACTGAATA